TGCTGTTATGTAACGCTTGCAAGGCAAAATTTTGTTTCTGCTTTATTACAAATAATAATAACAATAATAATAATTTTCATTGTTTTTCTTTAATTATACATATAAAAACATTCACTTCTTTTATTCTTCATATATTTTATCATTATAGTATTTTAAATTTAAAATTATTTTTATTCGTTTATGCGAATAAATATACTCTTATTTGTTTACATTGTCCTTATATACTAATTCCTAAACGTACTTCATAGCATAATCATTTTTTAATATTTAAGATTTATTTTGTAACACAAATTTATCAATTTTTTATTGTTATAATTATTGTTTATTGTTATTGTTTATTTCTTATAAATATTAAAATAATTATGTTATCATATATTATTTAGCCATTCTAAAGATTACTCTTATTGTTTTGAGAAAAATCACGTCAAAAGACGTGAAAATTAAGTAATAATATTACTCTTAAAATATGTGTTTGTGATATAAGAAGTGATAATAATTTCATTAACCGATCATTATAAAATCATTATAAAATCATCATTATAAAATCATCATTATAAAATTATCATAAAATATGTTGTGTTTCATAACACAAATTATCCGTAAGAAAATCTTCTTTTGATCTTTCTTCAACTGTCATTTCATCTTCTTGCTGCACTATATCTTTTAGTTCCATTTTCATGAGGGATAATGTATATTTTCATGTATCACTCAGAACTTTCAACTTCATTAGTAACAAGGTGTATCTCAGGCTTCTCATTTTATATAGTACTAATGAGAATTACGGCATCATTTAAGATATGTTTTGAAAAAATTATGTGTGTTTGATAATGTGGATTTCATCTTAGCCATTGTAAAAATGAGATAGATTTCATGTTTTGAAGGATAACATTGGAACAGATATCAGTAGCGCATTATTTTCCCGGAAAAAAAACTTTTTACATTTATCAAATTTTAACAGATAATCACATAAGATTCCGAGTGTTGGGGTCCGCCCCAGCCGGCCGAGTATGCTCGGCAATCTGCAAACTCGCTACTCTACCCGCGAGAACAGTGAGATCAGATTCGTTCTCCGCGATCCGAGTGGTCGCAATCTTCATCGCGATACTCCTTCGCGATTAAATACGCCGCCCGAAATTATAATTCTGTACTCGCGATTTAAAGGTCCGCATTGATAGTTTCGCGAAAACATGTACGTTACCGTCTCGCGCGACCCGCATCACCGAATCACACGCAGCGAACACAGTATCGCGTCGACCGTTGAAGCGATACATCATTATAAGAAATACACATAAACACGCGTCGAAACGCCGTCCTGTCCGATCACGGTCAGGAATTAAATATCAAATCAATTCGCGATCTATTATATTTACGATCTCAATACAATACTCTGTAATTTCCACTCAGCTATTTATTGTTTTTTTCTAATAAATTAATGTTAAATCGTAATTACGATCTAATTCTAACTCTGTCTCCAACGTCCTCGCTTTCACCGACTGACTGCTATCCGCGCGGGAACGCGAGACCGTTTTAATCTAAACTACATGTGAGCTACATCACATGTGATACTACATGTGAATTAATGTACATTAAAAAGTAATTCATAAAAATAAATATAATATGATTCATAAATTTAAAATATAAATGCAATGGCATAATACGATCTCTTTGATGATAAAATCATTAAAACATTATTTTGCAAAATAACGTGATAAAAATCTTCTCTCAAGTAAAAAAATTTTTTTTTTCAATAAATCACATTCCGTGAAAGTATTTATGTCGAGAATGAGTTTATATTCTCATTGAAAGTCGCGCGCAGTGTCTCGTTCTTAGATGGCAGCACCGCACGGACACATGCATTATGCATGATCGTGGGAAAGTCGATGGCCGCCTGAGGCGCTTCAGACGCTTCATCAGTGCGCACACTCTCGGTCATTATGCGCATCGCTCGAAGTAGATCTTTTGTTCTCGTGAGTTTCTCAGTAATAATATCATAAAAGGACAGCTTTAAATTCAAGACTTGCTCCGAAAGTCAGCGAAGGTGATGTGAGGAGTGCTGCCGGAATATTGCGAAGCTACATCATCGTGACGTGCTCACCACGTGGTGTTCACATGACCGGCGAGTGAATCCTCGATCTCATCTCTCTTTGCTCATTTGGAAAGCATTAATATAATCTCTCCAAGATTCGTGGGATATAGATCGGCTTGTTAGTCTTAGACTTCTCTTAAACTTTAAAGGTGTATCGGTTCGTCTAGTGTTTCGCTCGCGTGTTGACGCGTTGCAAGAATTCGTTTAATAGTGAGAATCTCAAGACTAATCACGGTGATCTATGATATAGACCAGTGCTCGGAATTAATTGCCCTTTTCGGCTCGATTTTGAAGGCGACGCCTACAGTTCCCCCACCGTTCGAGACTTGACTTGGCCGAGCCGCCGTAACCTTATGCCTCAGGAATGTCTTATATTAAAAATGCACCGTTTTTCGCTAAACTATTATTAAATCAATTTCTTTATTAAATTATTTTTATTTTTACAAACATTAAATTTTCTTTTTAACATATTTTATGTGTTTTATAATATTTAATGATAATAAATACAACGCAGTATTGCGTTCCATTTTGTTATTTTTACATCTATGATTACCACCATTTACAACAAAGCTTATTGTTTGTCGATTTGTTTTTTTTTCTCTTATATCTTGCGCGCAGTTGCTGTGAATTATTTTGAATTGTTTCAAATCGCTCGATAGCGTTGCAAAACGCTTCACTAAATTGGTTCCAAACTCGTTAAAAAAAATGTCAAATTTTCTAAACTTAATAAGATATTA